TAGGCGGTTCTGCTCTATTCTTAACTATCGACTTACTCATCACCTTGTCGTCTATATGCCAATCTGAGACAGTCAACCAATGGGAGGAGACCTAGAATGAGCTCACCCGCAACTTGTAGCCTTCTCACTGGCGCGTCGTTACCGTATCAAGAGAGAGAACACATCAACAGGGTTGGTAAACTGTTGAATTTCTCCACCTCAGGCATAAGCATGGCCTGTACTTTTGAGTTCAACTACGACAAAGTTCAACTGCGACACCCGTACAAACGATTTTTTCAGGCATGGATGTCCAGATTCATGAAAAAAAGCTATGTACTTGTCGAAAGAAAGGAAGTAGTCGCGAGCCCATCCATGTGCTCTTCTGTACAATCGAATTTTTCCTGGCCATAGTCTCGTCGCTCCAATAGCTTGTTTTACACACGATACCATAGCAATATAGGTGTCATAGTCGGTTGCCTTCCTCCATAAGGCGTAGCAATTAGCTCTCTCTTGTACTGCATCCGGAAGGACAGTGTCTAAGACATGCAGCTGAAACAATCCATTATTGTTAGCAATGAAAGCCAGCTCGCCGGCTGACTCTGGTGCGTCCCGTCTGTGATAGGGCCCGGTTTTGCTCAGAGATACAACTAGTTACTAATTACTAGTTAAGCGTCCAAATATGCAAAAGAAGGCACGCGCGACCTATCACAGAAGGAAACGTGCCGGCGTCAGCCGGCGAGTCGGCTGGTATTGTTTTAGTGACGTCTGGCTAACAGCTTGGTTTCGCCACAGACTATACGGACACGGGATACCTAGTGAGCATTCCAAATAATACAAAAGAAGCGTATGCGCGGCTGCTATCACAGAAGGAACCGCCCGCCGGACGTGCGAGCCGGCAAGCTTAACTGGTATCAAATGCGCCCTATGTGAAACTTTGTACTGAGAGTAATGGCCTGCCTTGCACTGGAACTCCACTGAAAAAGTACCCCTGGCATCTAGGGCAGGCCCCGCCTACTGTGGGCGGGTCTCAACCCACCAGAGACACAGACACGCTCAACTCTCGCTAGATATTACGCATCTCCAATTAATTTTTATGTAGCACATCTCCAAACTTTTCTGAAGGAGACCGAAGTTATGGAATTTTACTTGCAATGCGCGCGTCGATAATTAAGAGCTACCAGGCTCCCTACGAGAATGTTACTCGGTCGTCACATTATCCTTCCTTTATTTGAATGTGTTTACTCAATCCACTTTTCACCGGTGTTCAACCTGTACTGGGACCGATACACGAGTTTTGTCTCTAGCCCCTCACCTGGGCGCGCATTCTGCCCACTCAAGACCTGACCCCCTCTTCCTATCCTCTGACCCCTTGCTGACCTCATTCCACTTTTGCCCATTCCTCTCTGGAACCGTTCTGCGAATCTTCGGGTTGGATTCCTCCCACCTCAGCGTACCACGCCCACAGCGTGCTTCTCAACCACTGCCCTTTGCTGACCTGAATTCAATCCAGTGTTTCCCATTCCCTGTTGTACTCTCGACTGCCGAATTTCATGAACAAGGCCGTCAAATACAAGTATACTCCTATGAGTGACTGATTTGACGCTGCATCATGGCTGCTTATAAAAATGTGCTGCCACGGGTCAACTAGCTAGGAGTACGATTTGGTGGGGGCAACGTCTCATCTCGACGTTTCCTAGGTTGTGATAATGAATCTTCACCCTATTATTTGTTCCAAAAGTTTGTTTACTAACTCGTTTATAAAGTTGTGAGTTTATAATCTTTCATTAGATCACACCTATAGAAAGGCGCACTCGGAAACTTACATGTAGAACTCCGTTGTCAGAGCCATGCCACTTGTCATGAAGGGTGAACTCGCGATTTGCCCAGCTTTTCAGGAATTTTCTCCCAAATTCACTATTTTTTACCTGAAATGGTCATGTAGAAAGCAAAGCACCATGATACTCCATGTTCGACTGTCCATGAACCTTGGCATGGTGTGTGTCCTTGTCTTCAATGATTTCTTGAAGCCACAGCCAAGGTGTTAAATCACTTTATTGGGCTTACGTTTCGGCTAGTCGCCTTCGTCAGAGCCTGGAAGTTGAAGATCAGTGATTCAATCCTTATAAATCATTTCAAACTTAGAATAGTCCACCGTAGAACAGCGCATCTAGGAAGGGTATCGCACTGAGACAACAAGGAACTCACTTAGATCTGAGGTGAGTTCTGTGTTCTTAGATCTAAGGTGAGTTCTTGTGTTTCGGATTTGCGATACCTTCCTAGATGCGCTGATCTACGAACTATTTCTAAGTTTGAAATGATTTATGAGGATTGAATCACTGATCTTCAACTTCCAGGCTCTGACGAAGGCGACTAGCCGAAACGTAAGCCCAATAAAGTGATTTAACACCTTGGTTGTGGCTACATCATTGAAGACAAAACCACTATGTGATTTTGGAAAATTGTACCAAAAAGCTGGAGGCAGCAATTTCCCAGTTGAAGAATCTTTCGTAAAAGATCACATCAGCTCTGTCGTCAATCCATTCTTCGATGCAGTGGTTAGGATTGACTACTCCTTAATACTAAAAAAGTACAGCTTTCGAATCGATTGTTAATTAAGTTTAATTAGTGGGCTCCATTCAATGTAGCTCAAGTACTTTCTTTATTAGTGGAGGCCATTTACCTAGTTGAGCCCCATAGAAAACAGTTCCACGATAGCTGTACGAATAGGAGTGGCGGAGACTCACTGCCATTATGTTAGCTTTTATTACTACTTTTATTATGCCCTTGCTTCCAGTGTCAAAAAAGAGAGAGGTGCTATTGGAGGAAGCAAATAGCTGCGAGTCTTAGCCCGTCCGATCATCGAGGCTACATCACTGCGAGAGCCCCTCTTGGGGCCGTATGCTATACTTCCCCTCGAGGGGGACATATCCCCAGCAAACCTCCGCTCTCTGCCGTTATCTCTATCGATGCCCCTCGTCTCTCTGCTTCAGCCCCT